AACATGGACTTCCAACCCTTTGAAGATACTGACTATAAGCCATTCGACCCCGAGAACAATTTGGACCCGGACAATAACTTCTTCAAGAACAAACAAAGGGTAACAAACTCTGACTATTACCTAGATGAACAATTCAACACGAATATAAAATTGGAAAATGCACTTTCAGTAATACACTTAAACAGTAGAAGTCTCTATAAAAACTTCACAAAAATCAAAGAATACCTGACTAAATTCAATAAATTTAAAATAATTGCCATATCAGAAACCTGGCTTGACAAAGATAAAACAAGTGAAATGGAAATAGAAGGTTATGAAATGTTCGCAACTAATAGGGAAAACAAAAAAGGAGGGGGGGTTGCAATATATGTAGACAAAGCACTTAAATGCAGTAAAATCGAGAGATTGACAAACACAATAGAAAACCTAATGGAATGTTTAACCATTGAAATACATTATAAAAAGGCAACAAATATCATCATAAGTTGCATCTATAGGACACCAGGATCATGTATTGACACGTTCAATAAAAAACTAACAGATATGCTCAGCTACTACAACGATAAGAAAACACGAATAATATGTGGTGACTTTAGTAGTAGTAGTAGTATTTTTTTTCCCCCAAGATGGCGCCCGAGTAGGCAGCCATCGGCAAGTGCTCTTCAAGAGCCTTGCGTTTTTTGTTGTTTTTGTCTTTTGTTTTGTCACATGGTGTTGTTGTTACGTCGTGTGGACCTGATGTGGATAGTTTTCAGCATTTTTGGCCACGACATTCGTCAAAGAAGAAGAATCTGTGCTTGTGTGTTTTGCGCCTGTAATGGGCAGCATTTTCACAACTCCGCTTTGTTCAGCGGAAAGGTCGGTGCTGTTGCGGACAGTCTGCGGCTGGATGGATGCGTGGCTTGAGGAGCCGACTATGAGAAGAAAGGAGCGTCAGCGTGAAGCGCCAATGCGTATGTGGAGCTGGGAGTCGCGGCTTAGAATTGAAGCGGATTTACATGGGGCAGGAGATGAGAGCCAATCTCTTTTCGTTAATGGACGCTACAGCTTCTTGTTGCTTTCAAACTTAGCTTGTAGCAGACGTGTGCACATTTTCAGCATGACGACTTTGATCCACAGGTGAAAAGGTCACTTTGATTCGCCCCTCTTTCATCTATAACTGCTTCCAACAACAAAGTGTATGCAGGAAAAGTGGTTAAGATTGCACGACTGTCTGTGTTTTATGTGTTGTGTTGTATTATTTTGTCATTTTATGTTAACTGTTCTTTTGATGGCGGCGCGGGCACCCGCAGCGGCTCCTCTTGTTGTCTTGTCTGTTTGAGAGGGAAGAAATTTCATCTGTGCTGTATGTTGCACAAACTGCACATTTGGCAATAAAGTTGTACCTGACTTTACTTGATTATTATTATTATTGTTTTTCTTTACTTATTACCTAAAGTAAATTTGTTCTTGGTCAGCCGTAACAGCTAGCTAAACAGAACAGCTAACTTCTACTCCGGAGAGAGAGCAAACATTTGCAACGCTGTTGCTGTAATTAGAGTGACAGAGCTGCACTACATTAACAGGGGTTGCATCTACTCCTTTACACAGACCTAAGAAACTATCATTTGTCATGTATTATTATTATTAGTGATGAATATGTAGCATAAAATCATAACAGTGAAGGCATATTATGAAAGAATTGTGAATCCCAAATGACCTCCAACTCTGGAATGACATAGGCAACGTTGTATTTAAAAAAAATAATAATTTGAAGAAACAAAAAAGATTGTATTAATTGTTCCTGTACAAACTGATGGGAACACAAATACATCAATCACAAATATGAATGGAGTGAAAGGTATTTCTTGGATATTTTGAGAGATTTCGATACCTCCTTTGATATCCTTTTACTTATGAAAGTGGGTCATCATTGCAACTGCAATGAATCCAAGCTCAGTCTAGTTGCTACCCTCAAGCCATGACTCTCACCAAGGCCACTGCAGACCACTTGGTACACACGGCCTGCAGCCCTCTATTCCAATCCCGTGTCTTATTTTTAACCATTCCAATCAGCATGGATGAAATGTGCCCTTTGGAATTGTCACTGAAATAGAATTTCAGGGAGCAAAACCCATTCAGCCAAGAAGCGTATACTGGTATCTAAGACCTTCAAAGCAGCACAGAAAATGTTTCCAGAGTATTGTTAGCAAAACCAAAACCCCAATTAGGTGTATTAATTTCTCACAAGGATGTGATAATGACAAAAGCAAAAAAAAAAATAATAATAATAATACAAAACAAAACAAAACCAAACAATGATAATACAAATCAACTTACCTCAATGCTGAAGTATCCTCGATCTACGTAGTCTCCGAGGAAGAGATACCTTGTATTAGTCGGTGATCCCCCAACTTCAAATAACTTCATGAGGTCAAAGAACTGGCCATGGACATCACCACAAACTGGTAAAAGATAACAATGCAGTTACTTAGATCGTGTGATATACAGATATTTGTTGTTTTAAATTAAAAAAAAAAAACAAAATGAATTAAAATGATTGTAAATGTATGAGTTGGTATTATTGAGATAAATTAGAAATTGAGTTATTGGTGGATTTGGATTTGTAAATAACCTCATTGAAAATTTAAGCTTTTTTTCAGAATTTGAATTATTATTGGTCAAGATTGTTCGTCATACTTGCTGGGACAGAAAAAAACATGCATGGCAGGCTGATTGAACACTCCAAATTGTCCCTAGGTGTGAGTGTGAGCGTGGATGGTTGTTCGTCTCTGCGTGCCCTGTGATTGGCTGGCAACCAGTTCATGGTCTCCCTCGCCTACTGCCCGAAGACAGCTGGGATAGGCTCCAGCACCCCTCGCGACCCTCGTGAGGATAAGCAGTTCGGAAGATGAATGAATGAATGATATGAAAACATTGTGGCTGGTGGGAGGCTAGCCTTAGGGAAGCATTGGGTGTTTGTGATTGGGTGTAAACTTGCTCGATCTGTGTTTTGTGATTATTAATTGTTCTGTGTTGTGTTGTAGATTCATTTTTAAATGTGTGTGTGTGTGTGTGTGTGTGTGTGTGTGTGTGTGTGTGTGTGTGTGTGTGTGTGCGTGCGTGCGTGAGTGCGTGCGTGCGTGTGATGAAGATTAACTCACATTTCATGTCCAGTGTATGCAGAAATCAAGTCTATTCTAAATGTATTGAGCGATATACAGGTAATGTGTTAGTGTTAACTGTGCTTGCATCGATGCATTGTGGGCACAAAACACCGTGGCTTTGTAAAACACCTTAGCAAAATTGGCTTGAAGGCCTCTGAAAGCAATGCAGAGCTGCCAACAATCATTAACAATCAACTGTCTGGCATGGTAAAGCTTGCTTGCCACCATACCTGTAATAGGTGCCTCCACTTCCAGCATGCACTTCTCTTGCCGAAGGATGTTGGCTCCATCGTTGATGATCTTTAGCGCCACATCTTCCTCCACTCTGCCTTCTTTGACGAGGTGGTTTCGTAACAGCTCTGCATTTGGCTTGCCATCTTCAAATAGCTCTTTTGTGGTCAGTCTATGTTGTGGGGGGTATGGCACAGCTGTTGGGGGGGGACATTGCTTTATTTGAATAAAAACGGTAAAGACGGTTGTGAAGTCATCAAGAGATTTGTTTCAACATTTATAGGACAGAAGTGCAAGCTCAGAAATGACAGGGAAACCGAAGCAATTAAGAAACGTAGGTTTATGCCTGGCACAAAAGACGTGAATGAGGAAGAAATTATTGAGGTGGAGGGAGTACACCCATGCATCTGCATCAACTATGACAATACATGTACGAAGATGCATAATACACAGCATGAAGCCCTGCTCCTTACACGACCTGCCCTTCATCAACAATCTGCTCCACAGTCCACACCATGTACCAAACCTTTTTGCCACCAGGAAAAAAAAAAAAAGGTCAGTGAACTTGAGTGCTTCATGATTAAAATGAACCTAAAACCCAATTGGCTTTAACTGTGTCATTTTGTGACAATGTAGTGCTACTAGGAAGACAACCACTGCAGCTAAAACTGAAATACGGTCAATATTAGCAGTATCCGGACATAATCCGCTATGGACAAAAAAATGCCAGTCTGTAAGTCAGTCTTTGGAGATGGTCTGTCTCATTTAACACCGATTGGATACCAATATGCAAGATCAGTACAAGAATTGCAACTCAGGAACAGCAAACAACTCATAGCCATTGAATAAATTGTCACTTTCCCCACCCCCCCATAAAAAGTTTTTTTTTTTCATGTTTCAGTCGAAAAGAAAAAAATGCTTTTTCATTGAACAGCAACAACTAATAAAGTTAACACTCTTTGATGAAGATCATATTGACGATAACACCAACCCCAGGACATTGCATCTGTGAAGTGTCAACAGCTGTGATCACAAACCACCAACCTACAGCACGACCCCTCTAATCACCTCAAGGAATGCATTGTGTGTATTGAATGTAATTCATTGCTGTTCTGAAACATGTGAACACTCCCCACACCTCTTCCAAAGACATCCTTAATAAAAGCAAGGAGACAACCGCGTTTTTTTTTTCTTTTCAGAGCTGTCCAGGGACTGTAACGGTTTACACCTCTCAGCTCGCTGCAGAGCTGTTCTGAGATTGTAAACCGACACATGTCTCAGCGCACTCTCCTTGCAAGGAAGACAACTCTGCTTGCCTCTTCTTCTCTCTGATGTTTTTAAAGATTGTCTTCAGGGTCTGATTATCTCCTAGACCTGACAATCAAGACATGAGTCACCAATGAAAAAAGAGGAACTTCACAAAATGTGAGATGGAGACGCTGGTAAACAAAGTCAAGGCCCGCTAATAGTGTTCTCTTTGGCAAACTGTCCCTCTCCAGTCAGCACCTTCTAATCGTATACTGAACAGCAAGGGCGGCCCTGATTTTTCGCTCAGCGGTTATTTGCTATGATCTGAATTTGACCAGCGGCACGGTGGAAGAGTGGTTAGCACATCCGCCTCACAGTGCAGAGGTCCAGGGCTCGAAATTGGGCTCCTCCAACATTGCATAACATGCATCGTAGGTTAATTGCATTGATTTGCCCACAGGAATGATTGTGAGTGTGACTAATTGTTCGTCTATGTGTGCCCTGGCAACCAGTTCAGGGTGTCCTCCATCTTCTGCCTGAATAATATATATATATATAGAGAGAGAGAGAGAGAGAGAGAGAGAGGGGGGGGGGGGCGCATTGACTGGTGTGGTATAAATAACCAACAAGTGCTCCTCAGCATATGAGGTACGGCCGTGAAGACAGCCGTAAGATGAGGTGGTGCAAGCTTTAAAACCAGATTAGGTAAAGCCTCTATTAGCAAGGGCTTCCAGATTCAGGGGCTGTTTACTTAAAAGCCCTGACACACTTGAGACGGCTGCTGGAAGGAACAAAGCGGGTTTTTGAAAATAGATGCAAAATTAAAGCAAGGAAATGCCCTCACATCAAGTTATCGATGAGTTATAAAAAATGAAAACTCCAAATTTAATAGGTTCTTAGACTTTAAGTGTATGTGTGCGTGTGTGTGTGTGTGTGTGTGTGTGTGTGTGTGTGTGTGTGTGTGTGTGTGTGTGTGTGTGTTTGTACACACACAGAGTGGAACCTCAAATTACAAATGCTTTTTACATATAATTTTCGTGGAAAATTTACCTCAATTTGCATACTATTTCCGATATTTCCGAACAGTCTTGGGATGTACAAGTGGATGGATCTACATTGTACATACATGTAAATAAGTCTGCAAGACACTCGGCATTAGGAAGACCCGCACCACACCACTGCAGCCCCAAAGTGATGGCTTGGTGGAACGGTTCAACCGCACGCTGGTCACCCAGCTCATCATCTTAACCAGCCACGAGCAACGCGACTAGGACTTGCATTTGCCCTTGGTCCTGTGGGCGTACCAGATGGTGGTCCAAGACTATCTACGAAGTGCACCCCAGCAGCTCTCTTGTTTGGACAAGAGCTTCGGACCCCCGTTGAACTGGTGTTCGAGACCCCTCCTGAGCCAGAGATGGAGGGCGAGTCCTGCATGGACTACTACTGCCAGCTGCAGGACTGACTGCATGACTGAGGTGCATGACAAGCCGTCTGTCGTCAAAAGAGGGCGTACGACTTCGGCGTGGGCACAAATTTGGGGCTACAGCCCGGAGAGACGGAAGGACTTGTCTTCCAAGCTCATGAGGCACTGGGTGGGACCATCCTAGAGAAACTGTCTAATGTGGTGTCTCGCGTGGCTATTATGGAGGAACCGGGTGGAGGTCCTCCATCGAGACTAGCTTGCCCCATATCGACCAAGGACATCACCAGAGAAGGAGGCAATGTTGGAGGAACAGATAGAGGGTGGCAACTACATATTGGACGCTGCGGTTGCTGAGAACAGCTAACCGGTGAGGTGGATGTATAGCGTCGCTGGGATACTGGATACTATCCCAGCATGCTTTGCGGCACGAAGACTGTAAATAGTGTTTTAAGGCATGTTTTGTGTCAATTTTTTCTTGAGTCATTGCTTTCGTTGTTTCATTATTAGCTAGCTAGTCAGTTTGTTATGTTAAATTTGGTTTTGATGTGACACCATGATTGTGCATGACATGTTGACTGATGACTTGCCAACACTTGTCATTGTGTGAGGTAAAAGAACGTAAGCTTGTTCTTCTGCTTACAAAAAATGCTATTGTCCTCACTGCCTCATGAGCGCCATACACACACACCCACACGTGTATATATATATATATATATATACACACACACACACACACACACACACACACACACACACACACACACACACACACACACACACACACACACACACACACACGGTGACTTCACAGTGCAGATATACCAGGTTCAATTCCAGCTCCGGCCTTCCTGTGTGGAGTTTGCATGTTCTCCCCGTGATTGCGTGGGTTTTCTCCGGGTGCTCCGGTTTCCTCCCACATTCCAAAAACATGCATGGCAGGCTGAGTGAACACTCTAAACCTAGGTGTGAGTGTGAGCACGGATGGTTGTTTGTCTTTGTGTGCCCTGCAATTGGCCAGCAACTGGTTCAGGGTGTCCCCCGCCTGCTGCCCAAAGACGGCTGGGATAGGCTCCAGCACCTCCTGCGACCCTTGTGAGGATAAGCGGATTGGAAAATGGATGGAAATAGATAGATAGATAGATAGATAGATAGATAGATAGATAGATAGATAGATAGATAGATAGATAGATAGATAGATAGATAGATAGATAGATAGATAGATAGATAGATAGATAGATAGATAGAAGAGAGAGAGAGAGAGAGAGAGGAGCATGGTGAGCATGACAGGAGGGACCCGATTAATGCAGCATATATTCTGACCAAATTTATGAGCATTTGACCATGAAGAACACACAATCACACACAATAATAAAAACAGCATTGAACAAAGATAAATGCAAAGTCTGTCACCAAATGTTGGCAAAGTAACCTGTTCAAACACAGATAGAGAAGTGGCTTTGTCTGTCATTGAACAGCAGCACTTCATTCAAACAGAGTGCAGGGAAATAATGCAAGCACAAATGTTTGCTTTTGCACCCCCGTGAGGGAAAAAATGTTTTGTTAAAAGTAAATAGGTAACGCCGCCCTGAGCTTTTTTTTGTCTTATTAGAGAGCTCTTGGCTTAATTAGCATTAATGTTTGATGAACTTTTCAAAATGAGAGACACGCATTGGGCTACTGCTGCACTGCATCAACACCCACACTGTCTGGCATGGCAACAAACGACTCAAGAAACAAAAGCACTCCCATCTACAATCCCGCCTACTGTGGACAGTGTTTGGCCAGCATTATGAACCAGGACCCAGAATATGTTTGCTATTGTTTCAAAATCAATACAAGACACAGAATTGAATTATAAAGATGCGGCTGGGTAGAGATGAATGGGGCAGACTGTGGCTGGGTGAATTATAAAACCACTTCAGATTGCTCTAATTATAAGTGAATGCATTATCCATGCATGGTAATTAGCCAATCCTTGGGTTTATTCCTCATCACCGTCAATCTAGTGTCGTGGTAGCCAGCAAAATCCGCCCTTATGCCCACTTTTATTTCATTTCAAAGAGCAGATCTCCTTCAACAACTTTAAGACAATTGTACATCTGCAGGTCTGGACAAAAAGAGATTACCTTGGATTTCAAAAATTACTGAATACATAAGAAATGACAAAGGGCATACGCTGGATACCGCAGCGTCAAGATGCAAATCATAAATCTCTGAAACAGTTTGCACAAGGATAACAGCTTTTGCTGCAAGTAGAAAGTCTGAAAAACTCAAGAATGTTGCTAAAGAAAATTGATAAAATGACCAAGCTTATTTATTACTCACCTACCTTTCCTACCAAATAAATTACAATTCTTACCAGCAAATAAGATTAATTAACTAATAATAAAACTAGAGAAACTTGTGCCAAAATACCTCAAGGATCAAGAATTTACAGTACAGCACACATGTGACACCAAATTTTTAAGTCCCACAAAAATCAACCTCTTTTGAGGGGGCTGAACTGTGTCATGTTGGGCCAATGCCAAATACTCGGTGGATGGTGTGATTTCACAATGAATGTTTGACGGGCCCTACAACTATTTGTTTTGAAGCAAGTGAAAAGTCAATTGGCCATAATATCACCCTTGGAAGAGAAAAATAAACTTTCAACGTCTGGTCTACTTCAATTTGACACAGTACACAATGTGTATTGTGTCTCCTTTGTCAAACGTTGTAACTTCCTTGTACCTTCCTTTCTGGTACCCTCCCTATATGGGTACTTCTTACATGGGGCCTTTTCACACTGTGCGATGCTTCTGAATGCAATTTAGACCCGATCATCACAAAAAATGGCAGTTGGCCACTCAACCCCACACATTGGGTGACTTAATGTCTCGACTCCATGCGATGTGAACTGCACAAGCCTGTATCGAGTTCTGAAGATTCTCGTATATGTTGTACTGCATCACATTTTTTTTCCATCCATAAAAAGATTGAGTGTCAGTCTAAGAAGATGCAGGTTGCTACAGAAAGAGGATATGGGCGAGAACAAAAGATGAAAAATGAGTATGCATTGAAAGACAAGGTTCACTCTTATTCATTTGAATGCAACCATTGCGGTACATAGAGCACTCGTGCACAATTTGACCACAAGCTTTGCCATTTCATCCACAGGTGCATATGAAATTATAAATATGGTGAAGTACTATAGTCTAACAATACAGTGGTACTTATGAACGTCTCTTCATACGAAATTTTCAATTTCTGAAACGTCTCAACAGGAAAATATTGCCTCTTGTTACAAAAGAAATTTCGAGATTCGAAAGGTAAAAATAAAGTATGGCCTGCTACTCGCAGCTCCGAGTTTCCTGAACGGAACATACTTATAGCTGCTCTGCTATTGGCTACGACCGAGCACCATCCTGGCATGCCATTGGCTAAGAGGGACCTCCACCGTATGTGTATATGATTGTAGATAGATAGATCGACAGACAGATACATCTGCGTCTTTGCAGCGTCCTCGTCATTTGCCCCTCGGGCCATGAGGCGTTGGCGTTCCGATAGTTTTACGTAAATGTGAATCACCCAGAAAAAGTGTTCACCAGTCGGGCGATCGCTCACCATGCTGTTTGCCTTGGACATTTTCGAAGGATTGTTAAAAGCCAACAAAAGCAAACGTCCTTGGATCTGTTCATTACAAAACGCCAGCCAAAAGCCACTTCTGAGAGAGAACATGGAAAAAAGAGGGCAAAAAAGGATGAGGATGCAGTTAAAAGTTAAATGACCATCCTTGTTTTTCTTTACTCTTCTTTTTTTACATTACACACAAATCTCATTCATTGTGCAATAATCTAATTGTAACATATATTTCTTACATATTTTGATGCATTTTTATGCTTTAGAAAACATTTATGAATTTGGGAGTGGTGGTGTGGGAGGGAAATGGATTAGGGCATTTACATGGAAAACCTGTCTCTACTTACAAAATGTTCTACTTAAGAAATTTCTCTCAGAACCAATTAATTTCTGTCGTTTGGCTACGCGCAACAGGCAATTGTATCTCACCCGCCTGTGTGAAAGCTTCTGTGCATTTTTTGGGCTATAATTTCCTGTCGCCACATCACGTAACTGCGATTGAATTGTGTAATCGTCGCCAAACCAGTGGCAGCGACTCGTCCACTCGTGAAATATTGTGTCAGAACCACACACACTGCGCAAGCACCGGAATAATGGTGTTCCGGTGCATCACTCAGCGTGCAGTGGCCCTCAAGTTTGGGGCTGGACACACAGCAGCCATTTACAAGTTTACAATATTGGTCTGCATGTGTAACATTGGGAACACAGTCCAGAGAAATGCTCCTTTTCTATGGGAAAAATTGTCGTCTTGTTATTAACAGTCACATGTAAAGAAGAATAACAGAAAAATGCTGGATTGGCTTTCAGTGTTGTGCTTTGTTTAAGACGTCTATTTGTTGAATGATTTGTTAGTACAATTGGTATTATGTCACATTATTTACATGCCAAGTACTATAGCTGTTACATCTTCTCTAGAAACCTTGTGTTGGGAATGCAAGCCACGTCAAGGTTTACTGCATTAAATTGGACCATGGTGAACTGTTCCTAAACTGAACCACACTGGAAAGTAGAAACATGGCCTTAAAGCCACTAGTTACACCAGACAGGCAAAACAGCTACTTCCGAAACATGAGACAGATTACATTGTATTAACATGGATTTAATTGAGATCCCATTTTAATTAAACATTTCGGTTTGGGGCTTTCCCTAAATCAGAAAAGGTTCCTAAGTAATGTCACCCTTTTTGCCTCTCAGGTTCCTCTGGCCAGCATGCAGCTGGCCATGTTGGGAAGATCGCTGGGAAGATTCTTTCCACAATTAACTCACCCACTCTCTACTGGCTCACACTTCAGCATTCCAGTCCCCTGGCAGGACACTCTAAGAGTGCCCTTGCAGACAGAGAGGGATGTGGGCTGTGCTTGCTCTAAGTAGTACAACTGGTGGCCTAAGTAGGGTTCTCTCTCCTGGGAATTACCTCAGCCTTGGCCCTGCCTGTCTTTGGTAGACACAACAAATGGTGTCCGGCCTGTTCAATGAAGCAGAGAGACCTCAGGGTGAAAGAATCCCTCTTGTCAGGTTCTGCGAGCAACCTGATCAGACCTTGGGTATTCCTGTGAGCAAGCAAGGCCCTGAAGAATTAGGTATTCATCTCTCTTAAATGTCAAGGACAGTGAGCACCAATATAGGTCTGTGACTCTCCTTTGATTTATGCTGAAATGCCAACCAAGTACATAAACAGAATAACTGCAGTGAAGCTGATGTGGTTATTAAGTTTCACGCCATCATTTTCCGGAACATGCACTGATGGAACAGGTGATTAGTATTTACAACATGTCATACGTTTGTCATTACAGCACGAATACAACTCTGCAGACCCTTTTAGGGAGCGGTTCTTGGATAGAAATCAAAAAGCAACACGAGGTACACAATCAAAATACGAAGGAAGACATTATGGGTGTCTGTGAAGACAATCACTCACCTTTAATGAGCCGCTCCGTTGTGGACTGTTTCTCTGGTTTATCTTTATCCTTTCCTGACATCTTTCCTTCGTTCGGATTTCGCAGTTGAAATACTGTACGGTTGTCCTCCCGGCTAGCCCGATACGGAGTGGCACATCGATTTTGCGGTCTTGACTTTCGGTTTAAATATTGATCTTTCAAACAGTGGGGGAAAAAAGACCCCAAAATGCTCGACTAAGAGCTCCAGCTCTTTTTGGTGTGTTAGCTTACTTGCATCAACATTAGTGCTGGAGGAAAAACTACGATGTCTAATTTTTGCAGAAATAGAAGCGTATAGCACAAAGAGGGAGCTCCTTTGCTTTGTAATCGCTGTCAAAAATAGCAAAAATACCTGGATATTACCTTGAGCGATGGGTGCCGTTACAAGATAATCCGATTGGGTTACTCTATTTTTCGCTAGTTAGCCAGCTAACATTTTAATGTAGTGGCAAATTGGCAAGCAGGAAAAGACGGCACATGAAGACTGGCGATTCATCTTCGAGGTATTAACCGGTCCCCGAAGGAAAATGACAACCTTTATGTAGCACAAACAAAAACGTGAAGTCGTTCCAAGACACCGAGTTGGTTTTGACAGTGTATCCTCCTCCACAGATTAAAGCGTAATCTGACAGTGTGGAGCAGTGGTGGATTTCCTACAACATGGTGGAGCCGCCGTGACGTGACTATGGAAACGTGACACGTGGGTTAGGCGTGCGTTCACAAACACTAGACGTTCCATAATACACAACTAATACAATGAATTCTCACATCAAGAACAACTTGTCGATGTTCTCTCGAAGGCAAATGGAGTGCGTGTGGTTTATCTTTAACGTGTACCCTGCTTTTATTTTTTTGTATGCTGTTGTTTTGGAAAAACTAAATTCGTGTCGTGGTAAAAAAAACTAAAAAAGCAACAACACACACACACACAGACACACACACAGACACACACACAGACACACACACACACACACACACACACACAGACACACAAAGAAAAAAAAGGGATATTGAGCATTCGGGTAAATTTTCATGATTAATTTAATATGCAGGATAACTTTTACAGGTGGCTTTAGTTTGACCTTCTCTCATTTTAATGCTCGTGCTCAGTGTTAAATGTTTAAGTATTTTTTTAAAGCAATTTTTTTTATTCAAATTGACCCACAAAAATTGACAGGGGTGTCCACCAATAACTTCACATGCCTGTCTGTGACTCTTCCCGTTACTCTGTTGCCACGGCTGACAATAATAAGATAAAGCAACACTTAAAACAGTCACTTACCGGTGATAATGGCGATCAAGGAACCAGTTGAATGTTCCGCGCAGCGTCATCTTGGTCTAATGACGTCTAATGTGAACATCTTGATAAAGAGGATTGTTTGAATAAAAAATGTATCCAGGGAATATTGTCTCTTGGTCAATTCATGGATCAAACCTGTTGGCAAGATGCCCATTAAGTAATGAAATATTGAACAACAAAACTCGAAATCCCTAACTTTTCCAGCAACCGACTGCATTTTAGAAACTTAATTGACTTATTTTGTCGAACGACGAACTATAGGGTTAGTGAAAATTTTGCACGATAGTTAACATCGAATTACTGTATTTGGTGGTGAATTTTGCACATCAACTAACTTTAAGTTGTAACATAATACACCGATTTATTCCGAAAAAACGGTAGAAGGATGAACATTTCTCTCAGGTCTTTACTCGGATAAACACATTAGAGTAACATATTGGTTAAAAAAAATCATATTTAATAATGCGTATGCATGTACCCTATATTCTGGACAATATTGTAGTGACAGAGGGTCTCTCACTCGTCGACTGCCCCCCCCCCCCCCAGAAAGATTCACGCAATATCAGTTCAAGACACTAGATGGCCGTCTTGTTCAATACAAAGTAACTACCGTAGTACCCAATAGCGACAGCACCAGAGAGGATGCAACGTCAATATCAGCATGTGTTAATGAGGAAATAATTCAACTGATACAAAAATTTGAGATTTATTGAACTTGAAAATAGCATAAAATTCCACTTAAACATTCAGAATAAGTAAACACCTAAACAGTACACTGGGGGGAACTCACCAACCACATAAAACCATGGCTACGTGTATCAGGTCAGCTGAACAGCAGCTAATATAAATGTTAAGAGTTTTCAGACTAAGCACAAAGGCCATGCACAAAATAATTATCCTATATTCATTTGAAATGCTTTTTCATCAAGTCATTGATGATTCAGCTTCCAATTATGTATTGTTACACTACTGTCTTGAGGGTAAATACAATTGACACACACACAACATTTCAGAGCCCTGTTGTTCCACGCAATGGGTTAAAAAAATGTTTGGAAAAAAAAAAACAGCACATGCAAAAATGTTCGAATTCACACCAGGCATACCTCAGCACAACGTAGGAAGAATAGGGGAGATCACAAGCACCAGTCGGCACAAAGCCTGCTGAGGATGTCACACTGGCACATGCTCACTGGTCTGACCTTCTGCTTCGTGTGAGAGCAGATGATAACAGTCCACAGTCACAAGCTGCTCTTTTCAAATTTCCCAACCAGCCAATTTGATGAGCAGAATAGAGAAAACGGAGCAGTCAGCAGGACGTGGCCGACACCACTACACGTGTAGGCACTCGCGGCTCTTAGACAGTGCACAGCAACAGCAGTACGGGTGAAAAAGTAATGTTCTAGTTACACCACAAAAAGACTAATTCCAAAGCTGGGCTAGTCCTGCGAGTCCCTCTTTAATAAATCTGTTTTGCATGTGTGCAACTGTGTTTCTGATCCACATGTTACACATGGCAGACAATCTAACCAAAGACCGCATTGATAAAAAAAAAAAAACTTTAAACAGTGATGAGTGAAGCCTTTGATGCTCAGTGTGAGATAATGTCAGCATATGTTAAATTCAACTTAATGTTTGAAATCAACTTAATTGTTGGAAGAAGCTCCAGACCATACCAAGGGTGTTAAAAAGACAAAAGACACAGATTGCTGCGTGACAACAGGAATCCACAGAAGACGCGCAAACAAATTGTACTGTATGGCAAGATACAAATCCTTCATCTTCGATTTGGCTCTAAAGGCCCAAATTATTCAAATATTTCAGCCAGCCATCTTCCCAAGTCCCTTTTGACATCTGCCCTGATATTGGACTGAGTGCAAAAGTCAGCCCTCTTGAACAAGGCAGGTCTGGACCTTCTGAGACACGTTCCATTTTGATTCACAAACAAAGGTTTCCTGTACAAACACGTGTTGATCAGTCTAGATTGTTTAGCATAAACATAAATCTACTAAGTACTATTTAATAAAATGATGCTGTATGTACCATGTGAACGTGTATAGAAAAAAAATCTCACAGCATAGATGCTTTCCCCCTGAATATATTCTGGGAAATTATACATTTGTCAAAACACAGTCAATATGGTCTCTCTGCTCGCTGCGACTGGAAAATAATGACTAAGTAAACCTACATTTTTCTCCCGAGTTCTGTTTAGTAAGGATCAAGCCAATAAAGAGTGGGGAGACCAAAAATTAATGGGCTTAAAGAGCTGAGTGTACTGCACAGAGACAGGAAGTGCCAAGAGATGACGAGCTCAACAGCTAACATGCTGCAGCTTGCGTCATGATAGGCTACACTGGCTGCTTCTTCTGTGGAGTATTTGGTCAAATGGAGGCCAGGCTGATCTCACCATGATTTGTTGTTGTTGTTTGGAGTGTTGATGAGAGTTTTGAGTGAGACGTGAGCACATATCCCCACAAGTACAAATTGACTTCAGATAAACGGCACCATTGCATACAGTGCTGGTCTGTCTTCTGGTCTGTCTGGAGATTGGTCATAATCAGAGATGGCAAGCGCCACAGAAAATTGTTCATAAAGGAGTTCCAGTAGTGAGGTGTCCGTGGCACACACTGTCAACTCTTTCATGGCAATGGCTTTGATTCACTGAATGATGAAGCCAGGCTGCGGGGCAACACGAGAGGGGGCTCTCTGTGGCAAAGCAGGTGGGTACTGCGCTAAGAAAGGATAGCCGGATGAAACATTCGGGTAGGGTTGACCCGTTCTGGGAGGAATTGGCGGATATGGTGAGACTGCATAGTAGGTCGAAGACTGCGGGGTAACAGTTGGAACCGGATTTAGCAGTGGGGCTGTCTGGGATGGAGGAGCTGGAGGCTTCCTTCTGGGTTGAAGTAGAGGGGACGAGTCACTGCCTTCCTCGGTGAGGAGGGAGGTTGAGGGTCTGGCTCCAGCTGACATATCCTGAGATCGGGAGGTCGATACCGATGCCTGTGGAAGCTGCTGGCCCTTCAGCACCACCTCCTGCAGCTTCTCGATCTTCACCCGTCTCAAGTGGGCCAACTTCCTCTGGTTCTGGTAGGAATCGATGAAGGCTTCAAGGGTCATGTCACCGTCCAGGAAAGAATCAGCCATATTCTGTAGTAATGAATACATTTGGGACATGTTTTTAAAGTGCAACATGAAATTTAAAAAAATAATAAAATTAAAAAAATAAAAAAGGTACTACAGAGAGGAAATTATTTTGCTTCCACAATAAGCAGTATGACGTGTCAGCTGTTATTATTAAGCGTAGAAAAAAAGTAGTGTGTTTCCGGTAACATGAAATTTCAGCATAAGGTCGGTAGGTCGTACAAAGTATTTTTTTTTAATCTCCCCCTCCCCCATCAAAAATGTAAACAAAATAATCATAAAACATAAAACAAGGAGACAGTGAAACCCCCGCTTGAGAGATTTGGGTACCCGACGGCTGGGTGTTACAGCCATCTTGTTACCTCTGCGTCCCGCGTCCTAGACGCATAATTTTCCCACGGGACACACAGTTCCAAATAATGTGCGTTTTTGGGACGCAAGAAAATTTCTCAGTCAAAACATACAAAAAATAAAAAAATAAAAAAAACGACGGCAAGCCTGAGGATTTCACGGTAACAATAGTTATCAGTAGCGTGTCGTTTCCGTGGCGTCATTTTAACGGTACCGAAAAATAGTTTAACCATTAAAGTCACTGCACACGACTTGACTGTGTGATCAACGCGATTTCACTGTGCCTCTATGTGTGTTTGTGGTGTGGTGTGTGAGTGTGTTTCTTCTAATTTACTTTCGTTTTGTTTTGTTTTCAGTGTTGGGGGGACGCAACAGATAACGTTATGTGCGCATGCGGGTTGCTATTTTAGTCCGCAAACTGAGGAATCGCGCGGATGAAAGTTTGAGATGGTGGCGAAAAAAACTCATAGGTCTACTAATTACGACATTTAAGAAATGGGAATGCCAGTCTGATTTTTCGTATGAATCATTCAAAGGGCGTATCACTAAACTCACCTGGGATGTATGCACAGAACACGAGAGCGAGATTCGACGAGAGGCACGATTACGAGGCAAGTTGGTCATTAGATTTGTAGGCTAATCGCTATGAAAAATATAATGAAACAGTATTGGTTATTCTATAATTTACTAGTTGTAGCATGGTACCTTTATGAATAAAACATTCGTCACAAGGTGTAGTAATGCTAATGTTAACTGTTGGTAGAACTAATGATGACGTGTGTTAAATTTGAAGGTTGTTTGAAAATAATGCAGATCGTCAAGTTTTTTTTCGAGGTAGAAATTCTCAGTCGGTCGGGTTACCGGAAACACACT